GTGAGATATTTTGACTTTTTTGAGATATCTTGTGTATCTGTATATATTCAATAAGCCAGTTATGGCTGCGCTTGAATGATAACGCCATTCGTCTGTTTAATGACATCATTAGTTTGTATGGTCAGCCCGTGATCTGACTGGTTCGATCATTCGGATAGCAACGGGAACTTGTCGCATACTGTAATGGTATCAATGGCCATTTGAAACACGATAACCATAGCAGTGCATTAAGCGGTGTTTCTAACGAAAGCGTGTCATTGACAGGTCAAATTTCTCTGTCTGTATCCTCTCATTGCCCCGTATTGTCCTTCAGCTAACGACGTCAGCAGCAGCAACGTTCGACGTCGACGAATATGGTATGACCTTCACGTCATTTTAGCAAGACCTGTTTCCTTTATTTTCTATCAAGAAATGTTGGAATATTTAATTCATTTAATCAGAAGTATTTTTGTTTAAAGCGCAGTGAATGAATGTGATAGAATTGTCCATTAATCATGTTTCTTTCTCTAAAATATTTCTGGAGCATTTTACGAATTGTTCAAACTTACGATACTTTTCCACATACAATAATCCTAGTGTTAATAGTGTCATGTGATACAAGGTTATAAAACATATGTTCATAACAACACCAATATATACACTGATAGACTAACAACATACTTGACCCGTGAAGATCCGGGGTAGAATAGGTCTTCAGCAACCCATGATTGCCACAGAAGGCGGCTATGCTTGTCGTAAGAGGCGACTAACAGGATCGGGTGGTCAGGCTCGCTGACTTGGTTGACACATGTCATTGTATCCCAATTGCGCAGATCGATGCTCATGCTGTTGATCACTGGATTGTCTGGTCCAGACTCGATTATTTACAGACCGCCGCCATATAGCTGGAATATTGCTGAATGTACATAAAATTAAACTCACTCACTCTCAACATACTTAAGACAGATAGAAGTATATAATCACATAACGATGATTCATTTCTTGACGTATAATTTTTGTGTCTACTGGTGTTGCGTTGTGCCATTGAAAGATGTAGCCTGTTTCAAGAGTAAACTGTGATGTACTACAGTTTTGCCAACGTTCTCGGTGAAGACGGTGGTCCGGCCATCAGCCATTACCCAGGACACAAAACAGATCAGAATAATCATGACGGCCACGTGAGTAGATCACGTGATCGCGCACCTGTGGAATTATGTCGTTAAATTATATATAAATATATTGAGTTACGTTGTGGGAATTGGCGTGGTACTGTGGGGTAGGTGTTACACTAGATGTTAGAATAAGGAGATATGTTGTAACACTCCATCTCTACTTTACTGCAGATTCCTTAGTCATTTGCAGCACAACTTTCAGCCGTATCAAATTCAAGTAATTTCTAATGTTTCATTGTGTTAACTGGAAAATTGCAAACAGAAAATTTATTTCAATTTAAATCCACTACTTCTAGGTACGTGTTTGGAGAAAGAATACGGGGTGAAGGTCACCTGAGGCTTGGCGTGAAACAAGGAGATGTAGTGCAGAGACAGACAGACAAGGTCTACCGTGTGAAGGTGGGTGAGGGGTGGTTGGAGACAGAGACAGGCGTGGCTGTTGTCTATAGTGCTTGTGGGTCACACCCAGACCTAGGGTGGGGTGGGGTGGCGTGGTTGGAGACAGAGACAGGCGTGGCTGTTGTCTATAGTGCTGGTGGGTCACACCAAAACATTAAACGTCAATGGTCTGGGCTTGCTGGTTCTGACTTTGCAAATATAAGTGACATATAGTAGGAAGATATCATGCCATACAGAAATGATACTAGTAGTTGCTGGAGTTAGGATGTCACACAGCTTCATTTCCCCAACGCTGTGACATATTTCACACAAGTATTATACGGGATATCGCACCAAGAGCATCTACTCAGACTGGAGGCATGTGCTAATATCAGTCAGCACCCGTGAAGATACAGGTTTTAGTCTTTAATATATACCTGAAGGGTGCTTCTCACTATATATTAGACATGGCTTCTTTTCCCGGAATAACCGCATAGGAGGTTTTGTTTGCTCCCAGGTTTTACCTTTGTAAGTAAGACCTCTTCCCAGGTTCCCAGGCCAACACAAAAAATATATTCAATGTAGTCTTACGTCATTTTCAAAAGGGAGATCTGCCATTGCACATAGCCCATGCTTGTAGTAAAAGGCGACTGACGGGATGGGGTGGTCAGGCTCGCTTATTTGGTTCATGCATGTCATTGTATCCCAGTAGCGTAGATCGTTGCTCATGGAACTGATCTCTGGATTGTCTGGTCCAGACTCGATTATTTACAGACCGCTGCCATATAGCTGGAATATTGCTGAGTGCGGCGTGAACCAACATCTGTAGCCCTAGATGTATTGTTATGCCAGTTCAAGTCAGGGAGGGCCGCCATCAGTATCAAGACACGAGACCTAGCAGCCCTCCCCTCGTGGTGCTCGGACCGAGTCTCACACCTGTACGTAGAGGCCAACGTCACAGAGTCGGGCTACGGGGAGACGCAGACTGTGTACCACGTGACCACTCCTGTCTCCAAGGACGCCTGGCGGGTGACGTTCCCGAGCGACCAGCTTTACTTCTTGCCCTCGCGACCCTTCCTGTTCAGGGTGAGTGAGTGAGGTATGTTTGCACAATGCACTGTTCCAGCATTATGGCGGGAACCACTAAAGAGAACGTTCTGCATGTATTTGTTAAAGGTGCCACCGACGGGGCAGGATAGGCTCACATTTTCGCGAACACCTGGTATCATCACTATTTGTTGGTGATTCATAACATACTCTCAAGGTATAGTCGGAATCGTGTAGTCGATTGTTAGCAAAGAATTCTCATGAATACGGAAAGGGTTTAATCGCTTTTGTGCTCAACATGGGTCTTGATCATGGCTGATAGCCAGGTCCTTGATCTATCGTAACACGCATAGTTTAACACGTGGAAACCTAATTGTATGTTACAGAAAACTTCCAAAGGGCCGAAACACCAAAACATTGATAAATAGTCACTCTTCTACCTCAACACAAAGTTACTACCAAAGTATTTTACGAAATGAGTAAAGTCTCTCAGTAAACCTATCATTAAACAGCATAAACCCTTCACATGTTGCAGGGCATTCTGTCTTACGCTTCCGGGTTGCCTGCGCCTGGGGTGAAGGTCAAGGTCACGATGAAGGAAACCAACCATAAAGGTTTGAAGTACTTGTGAAGAAAACATTATAAAAGTGAATAAATATGAACATTATGTATATTAACATGATAAGTTCATCGAAAATGACTCAAAAGAGCTAGTAATAGAGTTGATAATTGAAAGATGACTCCGTTCCTTTTATCTGCCAATATATGTTGTGTCAGCTCCCACACTGAAGTCGAAGCGACTGACAACAAACGCGGACGGGGAGTTCGGCTTCACACAGACCATGCCAGATGTGGACCGTGTGTCCTTCCAAGTAGGTATGGCCGTGGCGGGCTGGACACTTTGGGACATTTGGGCAGGTTTGGGACGGTTTGGATAAGTGAAATGAAATCACTTCATCAGCCTTCACAAATAATGAGAAAATGATTGGTGTGGGAAGAGTGAACACCTATAAACAAGTACAGTCGAGGCGCGAAAATAAAACTATACGTGGCACATGTTTTGGGTTTGCTTTTTGTTTTGTTTTTGTTTTTTTGTTTTGATTTTATTTGTTCAAGCACGGTGTAACCAACTGATTATAACGGGTTAACCCCTGTCTGAGTATCACTACCCATGTAACCAGGTGGAGACTGTCGATCGACGGTACAGCACCCAGATACATGCCGACCACACCACGCAGGCCCTGACCCCCGGCAGACCCAGGATCACCATGCAGGCTGACGTCCCACAGGTAACATGTCACACACATCAGACAGACGTCCCACATGTAACACCTCACACATATCACACAGACGTCCCACATGTAACACCTCACACATATCACACAGACGTCCCACATGTAACACCTCACACATATCACACAGACGTCCCACATGTAACACCTCACACACATCACACAGACGTCCCACATGTAACACCTCACACACATCACACAGACGTCCCACATGTAACACCTCACACATATCACACAGACGTCCCACATGTAACACCTCACACATATCAGACAGACCTCACACAGGTATCACCTCACACATATCAGACAGACGTCCGCCATCCCAAAAGTCAGAAAAATGTCCAACAGGTAACGTATCACAAAAGTTATGTTGATGTGGTAATCTCCACATTCACGGTAGATTCGAGACTAAAGCATGACTGAGCTGAGTCCATAACATGTACCCCTTATTCTAAACAGTAAACAATCATGTCTATTGTTGTGGTTAATGTTTCAAACATAAAGTTTTGATAACAACATACGACTGTTTGGCACGAGTTGTTTAAACATTCAACGTAAGTGAGTAGGAGAATCATTCATGCACTTGATTGTCTAGCCATCTTGGGACTAAACATCCCCTCTCTACATGTAGTAAAACCCCGTGTGTTTCAGGGCAGCGGAGAAAACATTGCCGTCCATGTCGGCTACACGTCGTCAGTTAACGACAGCATGATGACAGTTATTGTGAGTGTCCTGGGTGGAACAACAATGTACAATATGTCAGGTGAACCACGCATGATACCAACTCTTGTGTACATGGCCCATGGTCGTGGTTTAATGCACTGCACTAAATTGAACCGATCAGGGATAGATCTGTTAATACTCTGACACCAGTGATGAACCGATCAGGGATAGATCTGTTAATACTCTGACACCAGTGATGTTGTATTTTTTCAGTTACTGCTGAAACAAAATTCCTCAATATCCATTAGTAAAACCATCTTGAAATACAAAAATTTCTATGTCAGACAAATCTTTTCAACAGTGAAACATTAACATTAACTTACATCATCTTGCTAACTGAAACCTGCGAGTCGTTCTCACATGACACCCTCATCATCTCGTAGGTCGAGGCCCGAGGACAAACCATCTATAGCCACTCCTTGATAATGATGGGCACTGACCTTCATACAGTCCAGATACCGGCCTCTTACAGGGCAGAGTTATCTCCCTCTGCAAATGTCCTCGCCTTCTTCATAACACAGGGCGAAAAAAGGAGTACCGGAAGTGATCTACAACACGATGACACTCGATGTCCCGGATGTATGTCTGGAGGAAGTAGGTTGAGCATCTCATTACCTTAACAACATAAGCTGATCTTTTACAACTGTCCTACACATATACCCCTGCTTGTATTGGTGCATCCTCGATAATCTCTAGGGTATACGTTACGATCACTCTCCACTATACCCTGGATGCATCCACGGCTTGGGGCGATGACTTTATTACCTCCCTTGGCTGGCTCCGCATTCTCACAGTAGCCAATCAGCTAAGCCGCCTTCACAACCGATCTTGCCAGGGTCAACAAAGATTGCGGTCGCAGTTGCAAAGGTTTGTTCGCAGTGCCACTCAGATTTTTGGGGAAATAATAAAGACAAATTCACAGATCTGAAACTTTAAAAAGAATATATGAAAGAACTCCTTCTACTTCTTTCAGAGTACCTCTGCATCAATTGTGTTGCCAAGTTTAAACGGTTAGATAATTTAAGACGCGAAAGTGAGTAGTGATTTGTACGCTCAACTTCCCAGCGTAGGCACCTGACTGGATAAAAAGCCAGCAAAGGGAGGTAATAAAATCATCACCCCGTGGATGCATCCAGGGTATAGGGGAGAGTGATCGTAACGTATACCCTGGAGATTATCGAGGATGGCATTGGTGTTGCATTCGGTGTAAATTCAAGATGGTTGTAATTAACGGATTACTGTCACAGAGTATGCAAAAACTATCAATTGAAACTCTATTATTGCGTTGTTTCTAATGTGAAGCAGTCTAATGATACTGACATCTCTACTCATGGTCAGTAGAAATAACATCAGTTGTCAACCCTAACATGTGGCCGTTATAAGCATGTCAGCGCCATGCTCTCACCTAAGAAAGTAAGATGCTTTATGGATAACAACTTCTTTATTATATATGATGCGACGTTTCGGTATAGATAGACAATAGGTGGAAGCCGATAGTCCGAGGCAGAAACAAAATATACATGGCTGATAAGATTATTTAGCAATGACAGCTGGATTGCTCTAATCTGTTGTTTTATCAGTTCATTGTATGCAGATTGGGTGAGATATCCCTGGTCTCTGTTGATTGAGGGTTGGTGTCTCCGGGTATGAACTGCGTCTGCAAGTTTTCTTGAGATGTCTCAAATTATTTTGTGATAAGGACAGTGGATGATGTGGTGCTGGTTCAGGTTTGTTGGTGGCCAGTTTTCTTGTTGGGTGAAGGGTGGTGCTGCTGATTTTATCGACTAGCTTTGAGGGGATAGTGTTTGAATTTTGTGAAAACATAGTGGAGGTGCTGAATGTCTGCAGTAAGACTGGTGGAGGACAGGTTGATGGCTCGTCTGGTGAGGGTGGAGATTATGCCATTTTGGTTCTCAAGGAGTGGTTGGAGTCAAAATGGATGTATTCGTCGGAGTGGGTTGGCTTTCAATAGACACTGGTTTGGATCTTGTTAACTGGGGTTCTGGTTGCGAGGACATCTAGAAAGGGAAGTTGACCATTCGTTTCTGTTTCTATGGTGACCTGGACCCGGGGGTGCTGTTGGTTGAGGTGTTGCAGGAGGGTTGCTGGGTCTTGGTCTAGTCGTAGAATGACAAACATCGTCCTTCCTGTACCAGCAGGTAGGTTTGATGGTTGAGGTGCTAAGTGCTTGCTGTTCGAAAGAGGTCATGCAGATTTCTGTGAGTATTGGGGACAGAGGGGAGCCCATGGGTGGGCCGTTTGCTCATAGTAGTCGTGTCCATAGGCGATGTACGTGGAGGTGATGGAGGTCAGAGCGATGATTAAGTCAGTGGTGAGGGGTTGGTGTCAAGGGGGTTCTAATCCGGAGATGCGTTGGCGGAGGATTTGGAGAGTTTCATCTATAGGGACACTTGTGAAGAGGTCCACAACATCGTACTCTCAGGATCTGGTCTGCTTCGGTTATTTCCAGGAGTTTGGTACAGAAATGAGTGGAGTCAGAGGTGAAGGACTCCGCTGTTTTTCCAAGTGGGGAAAGGATTTCTGGTAGGTGTTGAGCGGTGCTGTAGAACACAGTGTCTCTAGAGCACAAAAGGATTCTGACCTTAGGTGGGGGTCTTGTGGATTGTTTGGGGATCTTGTGAGTTGGATGTAGTTAGCTTACATAATACAGTTGCTGGCTGATTTTATATTTATCTTTCAGTTGTTTAAGGTTGGCTTTATGCTGTCGGTTGAGTTTTGCGATGGGGTCTTTCTTGATCTTGCGGTAGGATAGATAGAGATAGATATTCTTTATTTCCTCCATAGTTTGAAGATTACAAATGTATATGTATATTATACAGTCATATTACTGGCACATGATACAACAGAAATGCTCATGAAATAATTTATACAGGGTGGTAAGGTGAAATACAACAGTTATAAATATCTTTCCATTTACATACACAATTTGAGACACATATTATAACATTTTCCCACACATCATAGTTTAGCTGGTCCTTTACATCTTCCGGTATTCCGCCAAGCAGAAATTTTAGGAATTCCTCATCATCATCGTAGGTCCATAATTTTACAAAGATATTAACATCAAGTAAGTCACAAATTTGTTCAAATAAGACATTTCTTTCAGCAATATTAATCATACAAGACATAAAAACATGCTTTAAAATATCGTGCGCCACAGTGCCACACTCACATTCCTTTGACTGAATGGGAACAGAACCAAGTTTAATAAGAAAACCAATACGTTTATAGAACCTTGGTCTGTCAAGCGCCAGTTGCCATAGTCGATTTACACCGTCCGATCTTATTGACTGATACCGTATCAATGACAGCCTTGACTGCATGGCATACTCTGCTGCTTTTCTATCACATTGTAAGACCATTTCCCGTACCATTCTTGACCATTTCCTTTAACATAAAAATTTAGAACACACTACATATTGTTTAATTTCTTCCTGGATACCATATTTAGCTAATAATTCCAACATATGAAATATAGGAGATTTCATATCTCGTTTATGCTTTCTGCCATTCATAATTTCATTGTCATATTGCGAGATTCTATGTAAAAACAACTGTTTAAAAGAAAACTTAATACTGCTTGATCTTGCGGTAGGTGGTAGGGTCTTGGAGGATCCTGTTGACCATGTGGTGGAAGTTTGGTGTGTTTAGGATGACTGTGGCCTTGCCCTTGTCGGCTAGGACAATGGTGATGTCCTTGATCTGCGTCAGTCATGGATGGCTAGTTTTTCGGCAGCTGTCAGGTTGAGTGGTTGTGGGCTGGTTTTTGGCAAGGGGTTGTGTAATCTGGTGACGTAAGTAATCAGTCTTACCTCCTGGCGCTAGTTGTTGGGGGCCCTTTTCGATGTTGGTGAAGACATCGTCGTGGTTGCGGAGTGGTGTGGTTGGGATGGACTTTAGTCCCTTCGAAAGTACGTTGACCTCTTGTTCAGTGATGTTTTTTATCACTTAGGTTGACAACAGTCTTTCTGAGATAGTTGGATATGCTGGCGGCTTTCTTGGAACTGGTCTTGGGGTGGCTGTTCACTAGTTCTTGAAATATTTTATGTGATTGGTCTTGGTCTTCAAGCAGATCTTTTGGTTTGACTGATTTACAATGAACTGATAAAAACAACAGATTAGAGCACTCCAGCTATCATTGCTAATTAATCTTATCAGCCACGTATATTTTGTTTCTGCCTCATGGACTATCGGCTTCCACTTATTGTCACCAGATTTTATACCACCATTCATTGTTACCACCATAATAAAGAAGTTCTTGTCCATATAGTATCTTAAGTTTTTACTACTCACCAACTTTTAAAATGCCAATGAAACAGATCAGGCTCTTGCCTGACAATTATTGTGAAATAGGAAACTCATGAATAAACACCAAACACTATCTTGGATGTACTACTTTATATGAAATTGTAAACAACCAGAATCTGTTTTGGTACGTGCACTAAAACTTTCACTCTGTGCAGTTAACTCTCAGGAAGTACAACCAGAACAAGGTTTACAGGCCTGGCTTCAACACAAGGTTCCGCATTGACGGCGCCAACAACACGAGAGTAGGCCTGGTGGCAGTCGACCAGTCCGTGTACCTGCTGGCCGGGAGATCTTCACTGACCAGACAGGAGGTGAGTGTGTACCTCTTGGAAAGGAGATCTTCACTGTCCAGACAGGAGGTGAGTGTGTACCCCTTGGAAAGGAGATCTTCACTGACAAGACAGGAGGTGAGTGTGTACCTCATGACCGGAGATCTTCACTGTCCAAACCGGAGGTTACTGAGTACCTCTTGGATGGAAGATCTTCTCTGTCAAGACAGGAGGTGAGTGTGTACCTGCTGGCCGGGAGATCTTCACTGACCAGACAGGAGGTGAGTGTGTACCTCTTGGCCGGGAGATCTTCACTGTCCAAACCGGAGGTTACTGAGTACCTCTTGGATGGAAGATCTTCTCTGTCAAGACAGGAGGTGAGTGTGTACCTTTTGGACGGGAGATCTTCACTGACCAGACAGGAGGTGAGTGTGTACCTCTTGGCCGGGAGATCCTCAATGTCCAAACCGGAGGTTACTGAGTACCTCTTGGATGGGAGATCTTCACTGTCAAGACAGGAGGTGAGTGTATCATGAATCTGTACGTAGTACGGCAGAATCGTGGCGTATCAACTTGAATCACGGATGTATCAACTTGAATCAAGGATGCATCATGTTGCTTCAAGGTCGTGCATGTTGTTTCAAGGTTGTATCATGCTGTTTCAAGGTTGTATCATGTTGTTTCAAGGTTGTACCATGTTGTTTCATAAGTGCATCATTAATTCAGATGTTTCAGGCACTGATGGGCCACAGTCTGGCTTCATCTTCCCAGTTTCAGAGAGACACCTTCTCACAGGTAAAGTAACATGACATCGACCTCGCCGCCAACATACTTAAAGAGGTGTTCATATTTCCTCACCAAGTATAGTACGAAATCATCATTAGTGGAAATTAGTCGAATGTCAATCATTAGCTAGTCGAATGTCACAGGTGTCATTTCTTTCTCCTGCAGACGTGGACGATGAATGGTTTTGTTCTTCGATTCCTGGACACGAGAGGCACACCCCTCTTTGATGGTGAGTTGGTGTGTGGAGTGATGGCAAACTCTTCTGTAGTAGGTAGAGGTGTGGTGAGTCCATGGAAAACAAAAAATATATGAAAAGTAACTGCTCGGAAAATGATTTTTGCTTCAGATTTTAAATAGAAGAAGGCAATCGTTGTCCCCATATGATGTTTGGTATGTTTGTTTACAATATTATTGTTCGGCTTTGCCTTCGGAGAATAAGATTACGCCTCTTAAATCATCCACTAAACAAATTGTCTCTCTCATACAAACCTCAAGAACGCAAAATGGGAAAATGAATGTTCCCAGATTGTCTGTGTCATTGTGAAACACGCACACTGTGTTCCCCAAGGAGATTCTGGAGACGGCCAGTTAGCATCCATGTATGACAAGACCCGGCTACCACAGGCTAGACTGATGCTGCTTGTCCGGCTGCCTGTCCCTGTTGTCTGGGGTCCAGACACGGCCAAGACCCGGCCGACTCAAGTGTTAAGAGCCTAGTCACTCTGGTTAGGTCGTCGTGCATGGTTCCTCTTTATCTTGTTCTGCGCAGGTCCCGGCCTTCCTAACGACCTCGCGGGAAACATTTTTGCCTCCTTGCCTTCAAATCCAGAAGTGCAGAAGACCTTTGAGACTGTCAAGTTCGTGGTGCGACAGAACTTCTCTGAAACTTGGTTATTTGAAGATATACTTCTCTCCAGGTAAGAATTGTAAGAATCAATGTTCTTCATATAGCCTCCAGTTGTTCAACCAACCGACGATATACCTCGCTACGAGTTACTTGTTCACACAGGGCACAGTCACACAGTATATTCCATCTCCAGTCACACAGTATATGTAGTCACACAATCAGTGCATTCCATCTGCAGACCGAAACTGTGTGTGTTTCACCTTCAGTCACACATGAACATACAAGTGGTCAAATGTAGCAAATGCCATGTTTGGGATTACATGTACACTTTCTCAGTACAACATTACAGGCTATGTGTGTAAGATCGTTGACTTTGTCTGTTGGCGATTTGGTGCCTCGTTCTGAGGGCGTGAGTTCAAATCCCGGATGGCGCTCAATTATAAAAGGTTCTAGAATTTGAATACGTATACGTATCTTGTTTAAGGATATAATGTCCCAGTTGATCGCTACATATCCCGTATATTCCATGGTGTGTGATATACTCCGTACCCCAGGCGTATCCTCCGACAGGACCGGGCCATCATGTACTTAAACTGGACATTGCCGGACAGCCTAACGACCTGGCGGATGCATGCGGTGGGCGTGTCTAGTCGCCGGGGTTTGTGTGTGTCCGAGGCCGTGGACTTCACCGTCAGCAAGGAGTTCTTTGTAGATATACATATGCCATACAAGGTTGTTCGACTTGAGACTGTGAAGGTGAAGTTCTCTGTCTTCAACTTCAAGTCTAAGAGCATCAAGGTAAGACTTTCGACTCGAAACATCTTGTGTTGAACATGAACTAGTGAGCTAGTAAACGGTGATCTTTCCCGTACATTTGTCTCCTCTCAGATTAAATCATCCAGTCATGTTATTCCTATTACATCTTTGGCCAAACATTTTTCGAATCGGCACCGACTGAACTGTAGTTTATGTGGAACCAGGCTTTAAAACTAGAATCATTGTCTTTGGTTCTCAGCCGTACTGAATGGAACTGACGCGTGCAGTTTGCAGGTTTCCTACCGGGGCGTATATTAATACTTACGGAAGATCCAGCAAACCGGTTACAGGAGCATTAATACACGTGTGTGTGTTTGCCTGTAGGTGACGGTGACTGTGACGGTCCCAGAGGAGTTGTGTATCGTGCGGGAGGCGGGCCAGGACGACGACACCGACGAGAAGCGAGGCGGGCGAAAATTGCGGTACACGGAGCGGATCAAACCCAAGTCGGGGGCGTGGCATGACTACACCTTCGTAGCTCTGAAGCCGGGACATCATCACATCCGCGCCGTCGCCAGGGCCGGCCGCGTCACAGACACTGTCCAGAAGGACATGTATGTTGTGGTGAGGACACAGGTCACGTGACACATTCCGTCAACTCTTCCGACACTGCGCGTCTCGTATCAATCTGTATATTATCAGGTGACTACACCTGCCATATAGCTGTTGATAAAGATCAAGGTTAAACTTTGAAGAGTTGCGCCCTTTTTGTTCCTGGGTTAAAATTCAGGTGTTGTCCGGTTTATTATCCATAACCGTGAACATCCGGGTTAGCAATGGTCTTCAGCATTCTATGCCCATAATGGCGGCTAAGGAGATCGTGGTTGGGTCATGTCATCCCATTCCAGTTGTGGGATCGAACCGCCTCCGTGGTGTAGTGGTTAGAGCGTCCGCCCGGAGAGCGGAAGGTCGCGGGTTCGATCCCTGACCGCGTCATACCAAAAGACGTTAAAATATGGTACTTGTTGGTCCCTGCCTGGCGCTCGGCATTAATGGGTACAAGGACTGGTCTGCTCGGAGTCAGTATAATGTGTCTGAGTGGGGTATTCATGCTTCACTGCGGTATGGTATCTCAGTGAGCTAGCACTATAAAACCAGCTTAAGTCTAGGCTAGTACAAGCAGCGGCACATACACCTACACATGCATGCACGTCGTCATATGAGCGAAATATTCTCAAGCACTATGTTAAACCCAATCTCACCTCACCTCACCTCACCTCACCTCACCTCACCTCACCTGTGGGATCGATGCTTGTTAGTTATTTCATCATTTGCTCTATAGACTCAGCTATTTACATACTTCCATCATAAAACTGGAATATTGCTGAGTGCGTTTCTACCCGTGAAGATCCGGATTAGAATTGGCCTTCAACTACCCATGCTGGGTGGTCAGGCTCGCTGACTTGGTTGACACATGTCATGGTATCCCTGTTGCGTAGAAAGTGGTTTCTCGCTCCTCACGCTGGTCAGCCAAGCAGTAAAACCTTTTGACGCTCTAGCCGAGGTTCGAATCCCTATATTGGGACAACAAGTGATGCCTATTCCTCGTGTCTTCGCCCTTCATGTTGCTGGAATATGGCTAAAAACTGTTTAAATCTATACTCACTCACTCACTCAATCATTCCAACTGATACGCCCTAATATAACTGTAAAACCGACCAAAACGCTCCAATTCAATTTTTCCCTCCAATATTTCAGCCAGAAGGCCGCCGGATGTCCCAGACAGTCACTTTCCAGTTAGACCCATCAGCTCTGCTTCTGCATAACGATACGGGGCCAGCAAAGGACAACATGGCGGCCGCGCAAAAAGGGGAGAGAATTATATGTACGCCTGCAATACTACATCTTGTCTTTATATCATCTTATCGGTACCATACCAAAATATATAAAAGATGGTACTTGTTGCCCCCCTGTCTAGAGTTTCAGTAATACGTTCATCAACTCACCGACTACCGACACTTAAACCTGAACGCCCTCCTCTGTTCCAGCATCGTGGAGCAAACTGGAAGACGAGCAGACGACGGTTGTTGACCTGGCGCTGCCTCTCGACACCATCTCCGGCACCAGCCACACCAACATGTTCGCCTACGGTGAGTACAGACACGAAAGGCTTCCTTTACGCTACAAAACTGTTTCCTCTCGGTATTGACCTCGGAGACCAGGGGCGCCTTTCACAAAACAACCTTTACTAAGGTTAACCTTAACTGCCATTCTTTAACATTGAACTAAGGTTACCTTAGTGACTTACGATCACCTTAGTGCTTTGTGAAAGGAGGCCCAGGGTGCTGTTCTGCAAAGCGATCTTAGCGTTAAGGTGACCGTAACTCCCATGCCTTATCATAGGTTTAAGGTAGTCTTAGCGTTAAGGTGACCGTTACTCCCATACCTTATCATAGGTTTAAGGTAGTCTTAGCGTTAAGGTGACCGTAACTCCCATACCTTATCATAGGTTTAAGGTAGTCTTAGCGTTAAGGTGACCGTAACTCCCATACCTTATCATAGGTTTAAGGTGACCGTAACTCCCATACCTTATCATAGGTTTAAGGTAGTCTTAGCGCAAAGGTTGTTTTGCACAACAGCACCATGGCCCCGATTACCCATATTGGTACAAATACATTATAGTTGACTCACTCAAACCTCTAGGATTCTACTGGAGAGAAAAATAAAGACCGCGGAGCAGGATACTAGTCATCAGTGATATTTCTGTATTACAGGGGATTTGATGGGGGACGTGGTGAGCGGCGTGATCGTGCAGTCGGAGTCGCTGATGGAGGAGACGGCGGTGTTGGGGGGCAGGAGGGTGCTGGGGGATCTGGCCCCGGCCGTGACGGCCCTCCGCTACCTACAACGACAGGGGGTCATCACGCACGACCTGGAGACGAAGGGGAAAAAGTTTGTAAAGCAGGGTATGGCGCCTGTGTTATGCTCTACACAAAATGTAGGTGATATTCGCCACAGATTAAAAACAAATCCAAAGAGGTATCTGAAAGGCTCAGTAAGTATTTGGATGGACGATGGGATGATGGATCTTATTTTTACAATCAGCGATGTTGTTCATCCATAACATATCCTTACGTAGTACTCCAACGTGTATATGCCTCTCAAAGAAGAGGTGACTCGGCCAATACTGGATTTTCTGGTTTCCATGCGTCCTTTCCGACCCTCCTGACGATTGTCCAATGCAGACTACGCAACCAGAACACTATATACACAAATAGGTACCAAATCCCCATTTTCATGATGCACCTGAACATCATGGTACCGCGAGGGGAGTTATCCCATAGATGACACCCTTACCTTGTCAGCTTGCTGACAGGGTTAACCTCTTTGGTCATGTGGACAAGGCGTCCGACAACGGATCAGAAGGTCCGTCGTTCGAAAGTTTATGGCCGCTACATATACATCTTCCACACACTTCTCCTCTCACTGACACCCATCTCTCTCTGCCACCAGGTGTTTCGCAGCTTCTCAACTACAGACACCCTAGAGGGGGGTTTCTGCTGCTAGAGGGGCAGCCACCAGCTACGTGGTATGTGCTCTATAGCGTATTTTCTTGAATGGTGAACTCGGGGTTAGGAAATCAATCAATGCTTATCGTACTCAGCGGTCAGATTCGGGCTGACCCTGGTAGATATTGTCCCCAGGCTACCTAACACTTTCTTTTGTTTCTCATACAGGTTCACGGCGGCAGTGCTACAGACGCTGTGTGTTGTCAAGGAGATGAACTTCACCTACATCGACCAAACCCTAATTGATAATGGCGCACAGTGGCTGCTGGAGGGGATCGGGGACGAGATCGAGATGACAGAAGACTCACCACGTCACACTGGGGTACACTCCGACTTCCATAATATACGTACCTTGATACAAACACATAGACGTACCTTGATACACACACATAGACGTACCTTGATACACACAGATAGACGTACCTTGGTAGACACAGAGAGACGTACCTTGATACACACAGAGAGACGTACCTTGGTACACACACATAGACGTAGCTTGATACACACACATAGACGTACCTTGATACACACAGATAGACGTACCTTGATACACAAACATAGACGTACCTTGGTACTCACAGATAGACGTACCTTGGTAGACACAGAGAGACGTACCTTGATACACATAGAGAGACGTATCTTGGTACACACAGATAGACGTACCTTGGTACACACAGAGAGACGTACCTCAGAGAGACGTACCTTGGTACACATAGAGAGACGTTCCTTGATACACACACATAGACGTACCTTTATACACACACATAGACGTACCTTGATACACACACATAGACGTACCTTGATACACACAGATAGACGTACCTTGATACACACACATAGACGTACCTTGGTACTCACAGATAGACGTATCTTGGTAGACACGGAGAGAGGTACCTTGATACACACAGAGAGACGTACCTTGGTACACAAAGATAGACGTACCTTGGTACACACAGAGAGACGTACCTTGATACACACACATAGACGTACCTTGATACACACACATAGACGTACCTTGATACACACAGATAGACGTACCTTAGTACTCACAGACAGACGTACCTTGGTAGACACAGATAGACGTACCTTGGTACACACCGATAGACGTACCTTGGTACACACAGACGTACCTTGATACAAACAGAGAGATGTACCTTGGTACACACAGATAGACGTACCTTGGTACACACAGACAGACGTACCTTGGTACACACCGATAGACGTACCTTGATACACACAGAGAGACGTACCTTGTACACACAGACTACCTTGGTACACACAGATATACGTACCTTGGTACACACAGAGAGACGTACCTTGGTACAAACAGATAGACGTACCTTGGTACACACAGATAGACGTACCTTGGTACACACAGAGAAACGTACCTTGGTACAATAGATAGACGTACCTTGGTAGACACAGATAGACGTACCTTGGTACACACAGATAGACGTACCGAGGTACACACAGAGAGACTACCTAGGTACTCAGACAGACGTACCTTGGTACACACCGATAGACGTACCTTGATACACACAGAGAGACGTACGTTGTACACACAGACTACCTTGGTACACACAGATATACGTACCTTGGTACACACAGAGAGACGTACCTTGGTACAAACAGATAGACGTACCTTGGTACACACAGATAGACGTACCTAGGTACACACCACGTCACACTGGGGTACACTCCGACAGAGAGACGTACCTTGGTAGTCAGACAGACGTACCGAGGTACACACAGACAGACGTACCGAGGTACACATCGCCTGTCAGATTTTCCAATCTCCAGATTTTATGTATAGAGGGAGACTTGTTCTTTATACACATTGGAGATGGGGTATCCTAGTGGTTAAAGCGTTCGCCCGTCACGCCGAAGACCCGGGTTCGATTCCCAACGTGGGTACAATGTGTGAAGCCCATTCCTGGTGTCCCCCGCCGTGATATTGCTGGAATATTGCTAAAAGCAAACTCACTATCTCAGTCACTTTATACACAGCAATGACCCTTGGTGCGATGTCTATGAACTACCTATATCAACTGTTTTCAAATATCTCATCTATGATCATACAAGCAGCCCATAGTCTGGTAGTGCAGGAGACGTTGAGACTGTAAACTGCAACAGCTACTACCGCCGCCATCCCATGACCTATCCACACCACCTCACCTGCCCCGTGTATATTGTGAACTGTATTGCTGCTAATCCCGTCCTGTTAGCATGGAATACATCACGATGATGCATGACTATGTTGTACAAGAGCGAAGTGGTGTGACACAACCAGTGAAGAATGTACAATGGCCGTCTTCTCCTATGTGTTACAGAAGACCGAGGCTGACGATGTCGTGACATTGGTGTCGGAGGTGTTGCTGTCTATCTTGCAGTGTGAGAAACACATCCAAAAGAAGGTAAGGTACCGCTAATACAAAGAAATAGTCACCTAGGATCTTAGCGCTAAGGCGATCGTAACTCTCATGCCTTAACATATATTTACGACTTACGGCTGAGATGGCTGACTTTATGTGCTAGCGACTATGTGCCTTACGCTGAGAGTATGGATTTGAATCCCTGATGGGACTCTAACAAATGTACTTGATTCCGTGCTTTACTGAGACAGTGTAATCCCCAAAATAACATTTGTTAGACTTATGACAGTCCTAGGGCTAAGGTGATAGTAACTCCCATAACTTAACACAGACTTACGACTGGCGTAGCGCTAAGGTGATCGTTACTCCCATAACTTAACACAGGCTTACGACTGGCGAAGCGCTAAGGTGATCGTAGCTCCCATAACTTAACACAGATTATCACAGACTCACCCAAACCAACGTCCTCACTCACTCACCCATCCACCCATCTATCAATCCACCCATCCACCCACCCATCCACCCACCAATCCACTCACCGACTCGCTCTGTGCATCCTGCTTCCAGGAGTTTCAGGATGTGTCGGAGACGTTGAAGGTACAGCTGTGGGCGTTCCTGGAGGAGAGACTGGACAACATCTCCAGCTCACTCGCCCTAACCAAGGTCAGTCTGGCGCTGACCAAGGTCAACTCAGAATATGCGCATGTCGCCGTCAGGAGCGTCATCAACAACAGGAAGAACTCCTCCCAGGGTAAAGCAGTGTACTGAGCTTGAACATGTTTGTGTGACATTGGATGTTGTGTGAGTGTATTTAGACGGTTCTAGCAATACTGGGGTAACAGCCACGTCACACCAAACCTGCTAGCCGAGAAATGGCCGGACGAGGTGTGATGGGTACCATTCTTGGTCCTCTGAAAATGTCAAAACGGTATATTGTGAAATATTGGTCGGAAACTTTTCGGTAATATTGACATTGATGGCAAATGAACGTATCTTACCGCCCTGAATCAAAGATATGTGTAGTATTTAAAATAGTTTGCTTGAAGCCGATAGTGTGTGAGATTTTTTAAATATTCATTTGTGAAAATCATGGGCGTGGTCGCTGGAGGTTCAAAGTGACAAACAACGTAGGCGGTTTGGCAGCCTTGTGGTTAAAGCGTTCGCTCGTCACGCCGAAGATCCGGGGTCGATCCCCCACATGGGTGCAATGTGTGAAGTCCATTTCTAGTGTCCCCCGCCGTGATATAGCTGGAATATTGCTAAAAGCGGCTTACAATCATACTCACTCACTCACAAATAGCGTCCACTTTGGACTTTCCACATTAAGTTGACAGGAGAATTAGTGAAACAATGTTTAAAGTTCCTCTCAGCTCACAGACTCACTCACTCATGAACCAGATGCAAACTGAACTTTACCCTCAGGCTGCTATCAGTGTCACAATGAGCATGCATTCACATACATAGCAGAACCAGCATGAACACCCATACTAAGACACTGCCCCTCACCGCCTGGTACAGGTTTCTACTGGTCCGACACTGACCCGGAAAAGGAAGTGTCGTCCATGTTCAGAAGTCAAGTCGAGGCCCACTCGGTGGAAGCTACGTCGTTCGCGCTGATGACATTCCTGCATTCGGGGACGTGGTCTGACGTTACACCCGTGGCCAACTGGCTGGTCCAGCACCGCGGCCGACATGGAGTGTTTATTGGGATGATGGTGAGACCAGTCTGTGATTCTTCAACACATGCAGTCTCTTTCGGCTTAAATCAAACACTCACATGCCCCAAAGCGTATCCGAAATCTGTATCTAATTCCGTATAATACCACGTTTGCTCCCGAAGTAAAACCATGTTTCTTGTATTACTTGATTTAAAAGACATTTATTTTCAAACAAAATACAGTCAACCAAATTTTGCAAGCAACCGTTTTATTGAAATAAGCTTGCATTTGTTCTGACTCCCAGTGGGGCACAGTTCATCAAATCTGTTGTAGAAATATGTTGTAGGACACTAAGTAAATGTTTAGTTTTCCATGGAGATGATTGTTGCTCCCCAGGATACGATGGCGGCGACGGACGCCCTTGCGATGTACAGTCACAGACGGCAGTCGCCTAACTCCGACCTCCACTGCAACATCACGTCACATCAGTCCCACACGTACCACCAGACCATAGACTTCTCACAAGAAGAAGCAGTGGTCAAGAAAGGGGTATTAGGGGTAAGTAGTAGTTCCCTCACTACATCTCACAACATGTCCACGCGACTGAAATCGAATTCCTGACTCAATATATACTCCACATGGAGTCTCTCCGAGAAGTGGCGGTTTGGAGATTTCTTCTAAAAAGACTTCATGGGTGAGCTATCGTGCCTGACTAGTGAGCAGACATCACTCACTTTCAGCACGTCGTTATAGCGGGCTGATTCAAGGCGGCATACGGCTGTTTGTGGGCTGCTATACCTCTGTTTACTGGTCTTTGATTGGCATATAAAGTTGACATCCATAAAAAATCTCTTCCTCTGTTTCCTGTCCGTCAGGAAGGTGTACTGTACCTCTGTTTGCCGTTCATAGACACCCTCATGGTTGTGTACTGTACCCCCGTTTCCTGTTCACAGGCTCCGCCAGGGAGGTGTACTGTACCTCTGTTTCCTGTTCACAGGCTCCGTCAGGGAGGTGTACTGTACCTCTGTTTCCGGTTCACAGGCTCCGTCAGGGAGGTGTACTGTACCTCTGTTTCCTGTCACAGACTCCGTCAGGGAGGTGTACTGTACCTCTGTTTCCTGTTCACAGGCTCCGCCAGGAAGGTGTACTGTACCTCTGTTTCCTGTTCACAGACTCCGTCAGGAAGGTGTACTGTACCTGTTTCCTGTTCACACACTCCGTCAGGAAGGTGTACTGTACCTCTGTTTCCGGTTCACAGGCTCCGTCAGGGAGGTGTACTGTACCTCTGTTTCCTGTCACAGACTCCGCCAGGGAGGTGTACTGTACCTCTGTTTCCTGTTCACAGACTCCGCCAGGGAGGTGTACTGTACCTCTGTTTCCTGTTCACAGACTCCGTCAGGAAGGTGTACTGTACCTGTTTCCTGTCCACAGACTCCGTCAGGAAGGTGTACTGTACCTCTGTTTCCTGTCCATAGACTCCGTCAGGAAGGTGTACTGTACCTCTTTCCTGTTCACAGGCCCCGTCAGGGAGGTGTACTGTACCTCTGTTTCCTGTCCACAGACTCCGTCAGGAAGGTGTACTGTACCTCTTTCCTGTTCACAGGCCCCGTCAGGGAGGTGTACTGTACCTCTGTTTCCTGTTCACAGACTCCGCCAGGGAGGTGTACTGTACCTCTGTTTCCTGTTCACAGACTCCGTCAGGAAGGTGTACTGTACCTGTTTCCTGTCCACAGACTCCGTCAGGGAGGTGTACTGTACCTCTGTTTCCTGTCCACAGACTCCGTCAGGAAGGTGTACTGTACCTCTGTTTCCTGTTCACAGTCTCCGCCAGGAAGGTGTACTGTACCTGTTTCCTGTTCACAGACTCCGTCAGGGAGGTGTACTGTACCTGTTTCCTGTTCACAGACTCCGTCAGGAAGGTGTACTGTACCTGTTTCCTGTTCACAGACTCCGTCAGGGAGGTGTACTGTACCTCTATTTCCTGTTCACAGACTCCGTCAGGAAGGTGTACTGTACCTCTGTTTCCTGTTCACAGACTCCGCCAGGGAGGTGTACTGTACCTCTGTTTCCTGTTTACAGGCCCCGTCAGGAAGGTGTACTGTACCTCTGTTTCCTGTTCACAGGCTCCATCTGGGGAGGTGTACCAGTTCGACAGTCGAGGATCACGTCTAGGACAGATGCAGATCGACACGACGTATAACGTCGCTGTTGGCAAGAACGACCACTGCACCTATAACCTGAGCGTCTCCAGCAAACCATTTGACATCAGCAACTCTGGGTACGTTCAAGGGAAACACTAGAGAAGATATCCCACTGCCGATACATCTCCCTTTTGTTATAACGCCTCCAGCGAGGCCCGTGGCTTCAGTCATAATGTCTTCAGTTGAGCAAGTTACGGCAATATGTTATAACGCCTCCAGCGAGGCCCGTGGCTTCAGTCATAATGTCTTCAGTTGGGCAAGTTACGGCAATATGTTATAACGCCTCCAGCGAGGCCCGTGGCTTCAGTCATAATGTCTTCAGTTGGGCAAGTTACGGCAATATTGCACTGCCTGATACCGAGAACAAATGAAGCAAACATCTGACTCTCCTCTACCCAACACTGTACGGATACTCTTTCTATACTACCCATCAAAAGCTTAGACTCACTCAAAACACTCCCTATATGTTATGTATCTATATATGGTTACATCGAAGATGGATTTCTCCACTAACCTCGGGGAACCAACTGCAAACCTTATGCAGATGAACTGCACGAGGATCATGCATCAAATTGCTGAAAAGCATGTGCAAATATCGTGCATGTGAACAGCTGCGTTTTGGTGAAAAGTTTTGTGAAGAATTCACCAATTTTCACTGAGTTTCATCATTTATTGAACTCATGACGATAATCTTTTCAACGTTGTTTTACAATACATCAGTTCATGTGTAAACAGTACCCTTAAACTGAGTAGAATATTTTGCAAAATCTAGTTTAGATCAGTCGACTGAAGTAAGTGGCTACACTTACACTTTTGATGGGTAGTATATAACATTGCTGCAAGCATCTCAACACTCATTACTTTTGTCAGGACCACATTGTGTGAGCAGTGCGGCTTTGCATGCGCACACGACACTGAAGGCGAGTCATCACGCCGGAAGCGGAGCGCAGTTGCCAGCGCCAGCATCATGTGTATCGAGGTATGCCTGACGTAAGTAGCACTGACTGGGCATTACCCAGACAGAAGGTCATTTTTTTCAGTTCCATTCGGATTTTTAATCCAACCATTCTCATTTAAGCGTACAGATAACTTAGATCATGGCAAAATCAGGAACCGATAACGACCTTGTGGAAGCATTTTGTGACGTCTTTTGGCCGAGCTGAGGTTTCTATGAATAATCACCAAGCGATGACCTGATCTGTGTATCTTGTACCTATGTCCGAGAAGATCCGGGTTAGAATTGGTCTTCAGCAACCCGTGCTTGTCGTAAGAGGCGACTAACGGGATCGTGTGGTCAGGCTCGCTGACTTGGTTGACAAATGTCATCGTATGACAATTGCGTAGATCGATACTCATGCTGTTGATCACTGGATTGTCTGGTCCGGACTCAATTATTTACAGACCGCTGCCATAAAGCTGGAACAGTGCTGAGTGTGGCGTTAAACAACAAATACACATATTTTGTATCTGATACCAGCCGTATGTATTGATACCATGTTACGTTTCTATGGTGACTGTGAAGGTCTTTAAGGAATACCACCAGCCACAACGTTCGTGTGGACACAGGACTTCCGAGTGGTCACAAGATGATCCCAGTCACACAGGCCGAGGTGAGACCAAGGTCACATTTTTGTGAGAGTAGGAGGGAGAGACTGATAGGAATATTGTTGATTGCGGCCTAACAGTTTTGACACACTCAAATGTTGTTCTTCGTAAATAGCTGAAAATAAATAACTAAAAATGTGATTATAAATTTATGCCGCACATGGTAACTTCTTGTGAAAGAAGATATAATATCTCCTTATACAAACAGTGGAGATACCTCACGTGTTATGTAGGGGGCGCGGTGGGCGAGCCGGCTAAGGCGCCAGGCTAGTGATCCAGCGAGGATGAGGTGTCGGGATCGAACCCACCTGTGACCGGGTGTAAAAACCTTGGAGTCAACTTTGTGTGCAGACTCTTTCAGTGTTGTCACAATCCCAAGTGTACAGTACACAACCCTGTGCACATAAAAGAACCCACGAATCCGTTGGTATATGACCAGATAGTGGCCACATGAATACGTGCAAACACCTAGTTGCGGGTACAGCAACGTGCAGTGAACTTGGACAAAATACTGTGACTACGTGTCCCAGTCCACCCAGCTGTGAATGGGTACCTCGTTAGGATGAGAAAGCCACGATAACTCGGTGCGCCTAGTGGCTGCAAGAGTTGTATACCCCCCAGGGAGTTGAGATTGATAATAAGATGTGCCATTGAGATTGATATCCAATGATCGAGGGAAAAAATACCAGCGCCTTGAGCAAGCACTAGTGCGTGGATGTGTGCGCTATATAAATATCCTATATTAATAATAATAATAATAATAATGTATTGTTTGTTTTCTCAGATGGCTATTATGACGAGGAGAAAGGCGATGTTCCTGTACAAGGATGGTCTGTTTTCCGTGATGTTACACAAGGTGACACATGCCGTCAACCATGCTTCCCGTATCTGTGTCATACCCGATACCTCACTTTGTCAGGTCTATCTGTCTATATCTGTGTCCCTGTGTTGGGACCCATGTGTCTGTACCTGTGTGTCTCTACCTATATCTGTGCCCCTGTGTTAGGACCCAAGTGTCTCTACCTATATCTGTGTCAGGACCCAAGTGTCTACGTCCCTCTTCATTACTTTGCATTCTTGTGACTGTTGTTTGATACCAGGTGACCGAAGGTGAGAAGATCTGTTTCGGGTTCCGAGCCATTGACAAACAGGAGGTGGCCCATCATCAACCTTCCATTATCACCATCAGGGAGGAGCTACAGAAGGGTGGGTAGTGGACAGTGGTAGACAGTGGGAGCGTTAAAAGGGGAAAGTGTGTGGATGTCAGCTTCTGTTAAATGGGGAAGAGGACGCTTTCAGAGTATATTGAAGGAGTAAGGATATCCTTCGAAACGTCGTGTTCTCCATATTACAGTTGACATCAATAGACTTTCCTCTCTATGTAGGAGAATGTATAATAGATGGTGTCATTAGTCCTGAGGGAAAGATGTGAAGGCAACAAGAGATTACTGTTGTTGGTAAAGTGTATATACTTGATGAGACTATTTAAGTATCATATTGCTTCATAGTTGTTTGCTGGGCAGACTGGGTGTTCTGAAGACAATGTTATTCTGACTGTAAAAGGGATATTTGAAAAGACATAATGTGCAGATCCTTTTTATTCAATGTCAGTTTGTTACCATAGACCCTAGGAGGGCGGCATCTTCCTATTTCAGAGCCCTCCTGCAGCCAGGCGTATGACGCTAAAGACAGCTCGGTGACTCTGCCAGTCCTGTGTTCGAACCTGTCCCAGAGACACAAGGGTGTCTGCATATGTGCTTCAGGTAATTTTAACCCGTGCTTCAGGTAATTTTAACCCATACGAGTTCATTTAGTCTGCTGATGTCAACTGGTAAAATTTTGTATCAGAAACACAAGAAGTCTTGCTCATCGGTGTCATCGAATATAATACAGTGAATATTTGTCCAAATTCACCTACTATAATATTATTAGTTAAACCAATGGTCAGCCAATAACACTCTCATAGTGCGGTATGTATCGTCCATCATCAAACTTACCTGAATAAAGGTGAGGTGAAACGGGTTTTACGTCGCACTTAAGAATATTTCGCTCATATGACGACGTGCATGCGTGTGTATGTGCATGTGTGGCTGCTTGTACTAGCCCAGACTTAGGCTGGTTTTATAGTGCTAGCTCACTGAGATACCATACCGCAGTTAAGACTGAATACCCTAATCAGACACTTATACTGACTCCGAGCCGACCAGTCCTTGTTGTACCCATTAATGCCGAGCGCCAGGCAGGGACCAACAAGTACCATATTTTAACGTCTTTTAACGACCTTCCACTCTCGGGGCACACGTTCTAACCACTACACCACGGAGGCGGTCAACTGAATAGAAGAGAAGGATACTTGGAAAGAAAATCTATATATTTTTACTTGGTGAACCGGACTCAGTGATTCGTCACATTGTCTCAATGCTCGGTGACCTTGTCTGCATGCTAAGAGACCCAGACTTAGAGCTGGATGTCACAGACAGTCCTTGCTGACCCAGACTCGGTTCTCTGTGACCTGGACTCACTGCTCGGGGACCTTGTCTCAGTGATGGGTGACCCGAACTCAGTGCTTAATGACCTTGACTCAGAGCTCGGTGACCTTGACTCATGTATGTTGCCTCGTAAAGACTTCCTGTCAGCAAGCTCCCAGAAGCAAGTATGAGCGATGCTTTGAATAGCGATGTGATGTGTGCATGTTGCAGGTACGTGCGGCAAGTGCCAGCCACGCGCCGCGGTATGAGGATGAGAACCAAACACGTGAAGAGAGAGTTATGCGGAGTTGATTACGGTAAGCCCAACCTCACTCGGCACCACTCGGCTTTTCCGTCCACCTACAAAATACCTCGGTCTCTAATTATATTTTATTTTACGAGTAAACACCAAATACCACCTTTGATATTTCCACATCAGTCAGACATACACTTCCAGCCTCTGACATTCACAATCAGACATAAATAGTCTGACGTAAAGGTTCTCCTTGTCCGTAGGTTTAGACATTCCTCCACACGGTTACTTCCGTATAGAACCACTTATTTGTTTGTCAAATACTTCCGTATAGAACCACTGATTTGTTTGTCAAAATTAATGTTTAATCTGGGCGACTATGGAAAGAAGGAAACGTCACCTTATTGGTGTATTGTTTCACTTCCATCGAAGTGCCTCTCAGAATTGACAAGGGTTTTCAACTCCCGAAGTTGTTTTATGCTTCTAGTGTACAAAGTTGAGACGCGGGGTACGGAGGAAGAAGGGGCGTGGCGGCACACGGAAACCACGGTGCTGAAGACACATATTCAAGGTAACCACCTCTAGGTTAACTGACCAGATGTAATATGAGTGAAGTTTGCCTGAACACTTTACAGGATGTGCATCAGCAGAATATCTTACCGACAATATTTGACGAAATTGTTCCAGCCTGCCTATAAATTCTGCCGCTAAAGCTGGAAGTCTCCAGCTCAAGCGGCCTGTAAATGACATCATTTTCAATGGAGACAAAGACGTTGTGTTTTGCTTCCAGGCCGAGACCGGATACGGGTGGGACAGACGCTAATGTTCACCACCCCCGGGTACTGCGCCGTGTGCCCCAATTACAGGGTGGGACAGCCCCTGTACGTGATGGGGAGGGACGGGGATCGCCTGATGGATGACAGCGGCACAGTGATGTACGTATATTTATGGAGGTCAAAGGACACGCGTGACCTTGTGCGCCGTAATTGTCTGTACAGAGTAGCGTCCCTTGAGTTGCGTGTATGTGGTATATCAGCGAGAAAGTTTCTGAATGTCCAGCAAGTGTAAAGAGAATACAGGCATTCTGACATACGTGAACCTTATAACTCCATTCACACATTCAAGTGAGTGAGTGAGTGAGTGAGTTTATTTTTACGCCGCACTCAAGAAGTAGTGTCTTCTATACTCACAGACTAGAGACACTGGCAGATCAATCTGACAACAATGCTGTAGAGCATGTAAAGCCATTATCACGTTTTGCAAGTTTTCCAAATGACGTCGCACTTCCTGAACTATAGTGACGGTGCGGAAGTAAAGGGAACAGTGAGAACACGTGCATGTGTGTATGTGTGTGTAAGATATCCGTGAGAGAACCAACGATGTATACATATTGTTTCGTGACCAGCCATCTAGTTTTGCCAACTATCCCAGATTCCCATTGATGTTGCAGTTTCAGACACGTTGTGGACGACTCGATGGTCTTTCTCAACGTCACAACGACCAGGATCAAGAAAAGAGGATCCGCTGTGAAAGAATCGTACGTGAAACGAGCCATTAAAAATCACAAAGCGAAGGGGTGCATTGGTTCCAAGTAGCAGAGTAAAGTGTTTTGGAATACTGGTTTTCTGATGTGTGGACACATTGGACGTGGACAGGAAGTACCCCAATGAAGGGTCAACGGCTGCTATCATGTTCCTGACTTTAGGAAGGCTCCTGTAACAGCGTTCAGTGTTCGGGATTAATGCTTCCTTCTTGTATTTTATATTCACCAGTGTGGATGGTATATGTTCGGGATTAATGCTTCCTCCTTGTATTTTATATTCACCAGTGTGGATGGTATATATATACATATATAAACCTGTTTATATATAGTCCTCAAAGGTGCAACTTCAACACCATTCGCTCAGAACTAATGCATATATAGCTTGGTGTCGTGAAGGTTTATTTGTATGGCCCAGCTTCTGAAAGCGTGAAGCTATATACCTTAGCATAGAATACATTCCGAAGTCCCGACCCGAGTTCTAATAGATGTTTAATTATGGGCTCTGGTAGAACAGGCAAAAAGGTTTAGACGGGTTTAGTTCTTGTCCTTGTTGGCTGTGAAGAGGGCGGAAATCATTTTTATCACTCTCATTTAGTCTTCTCAGAATCAGTTGTGAAAATAGCAGGGGTAAAACACGGTGACAGTGCAGTGGTCACTTTTTATCAGTATTTCTTTATACAATTGCTAGTTTCAAAGTTTCAGTTAAATCAAAAGATAATGAACATGGTTTTGACATACAACATAGGAACAATGTTGGATTCCATTGGGCACATAACCAACAGTAGGTTTATTGACATCGGGCACATCATTATGCAAATAGTGCATCTTTTATATGTACAATATCTTTATTAAATAGTTTGCATTAGAGTTTTTCAGTTTTTCTGTTACAGTTTAATGTAATTATGTGTCAAAATACACCATCAAAGCTAAGAGTTATGAGGTGCCTCTGCACAAGCCAATGTTTTCGTGTAAGCCCCATAGGTTGCAAAACGTAGTATTGAGGGCTTGCCCACATTTTTAGCACAACCATGTGTAAGCCCGGCCTTTTTTTTAATATTGGTAGCTACGCCCCTGGGTGCCTCTGCAGGAGTGAGTGAGTGAGTTTGGTTTTACGCCGCTTTTAGCAATATTCCAGCAATATCACGGCGGGGGACACCAGAAATGGGCTTAACACATTGTACCCATGTGGGGAATCGAACCCGATCTTTGGCGTGACGAGCGAACGCCTTTAACCACTAGGCTACCCCACCCCCCCTCTGCAGGAAATACAACTGCCTGTGTACTTGCGTAAGGCAGGAGACCATCGCTTCTTCCTACCATCAGCCCTCGTCAACAAGATGAAGACATACTCTTCCCTCACATCACTCTCATGTATACAAACTGACACACTGACATGAGAGTGAGTGAGTTTGGTTTTACGCTGCTTTTAGCAATATTCCAGCAATATGGGCTTCACACATTGTACCCATGTGGGGAATCGAACAGTGATTTGGGGCGTGACGAACGAATGCTTTAACCACTAGGCTACACCACCACCCCACTGACATGAGAAGCAACCACAGTCCGGAGCTAACCGTTATGTGATAAATATTATAATCCATAATAGTGAACACAAAAAAATGCAAAATGTGATTCCTTAAACAGTTTGGTTTTGTGATGTTATTGTATCAAGGTAAGGCATACCATAACAAAACCATCAACCTCACACTACAGGACTGACAGAGGACACAACACTGTGCAGCCATCACAGCCTCCATGCAACAAAACTTTCATGTAACAAAACAATCAATAATACTTGTGTCTTTCTCCCTCCTAAGGGACCGTTCATAATTTATGGCTATGTGGGGGTGATGATGATTTTAAGGGGGATCACCCATTTTGTTCTGGGGAGGTCATCAATTTTGTACACGTTTCAAGGGGTGGTCAGCAATTTTGTACATAAAGATATTTAAAAATTATGCTTTAAAAATATGGAAAGGGGGAGGCAGGGTCATTGACTTTGTACATGACATGCAGGGGGGGGTGTCACTTACTTTGTACATAAATTTTAGTGGGGGTCATTCACATTGTACATGCTTCTCCATAAAAATCATCATCACCCCCTCTAGCCATGAATTATGAACAGTCCCTAATTCCCAGATTTCACTACCCATGGATACAATATGTCAAACCCATTACAGGTGTTCCCAATGCTGATTTGGCTTGATCATTATTAAAATAACTAACTACCTTTGCCCAGTCCTTGCCAAGAGTGCTAGCTTACATGCAGTCTGAAATATCCCAAACTACATGACATTCCAAACATCCATGAACGTCTTGTATTTCCTAACACCACCTCATGAGAAGCTGTACAGCATGACAAGACTGATGACGACCTGTACTGCTGTTGTCAAAGCACATGGTATGAAGGTGACAGAACTCGCCGGGAAAGCAGCTCCCAATATATCGATCTGGATCCAACAGGAAATGTGAAAGTGATTGCACAGAGGACAAAAACATCCATCCACTTTAACTTCTCTCTTCTGACTCTTAGTGAGAGATTAGCCTTAAGGTTGTTCAGCTGTCTTTCTTTTCCTCCACCGGGATCTTCTGAACTGTGTCCGCGATCCACTTCAGATATGGAGGGTTGCCATTGTCAATCTGATAAAAGCAAATATGTGCTCCATTTGAAACACTGTACATGTTACCTACAACAGGCACACCATATTGTCCATGTTCCCTGACATAGCTACACAGACACACCACATGCTCCTTGTAATAGCTACATCATGTTCCTACAAAATGTTCTTCAGACAGACATGCCAGTGTACAGTCCGTTTGATATCATTTGAGACTGATGAATTGCTCACTAACACATTATCTAATGATTTAACAAAACTAAATTTTGCACAGTCCCATGAAACTGACAGACCAACTCCTGATGATTTGGCTCCTAATTTTGGACACTCGAATAAAAAATTTGTTTAACAAACGCTCATTATTTTGTTGTCACTTTTTGCTATTTCTTACGAGGGAGGACCACTTGCTGGTGGAACAGCCAGGTAATCAACAAGCGTGTGCAGTGAAATTTCAATTTCACATGTACAACTTGCACACCTGGCTGGCCTTGTAAGAAATAGCACAAAAAGTGGCAACAAAATAATGATCGTTTGTTAAACAACTTTTTTATTCAAGTGTCCAACATTATGAGACAAATCATCAGAGTTGGTCTATCGATTTCATGTGACTATGCAAAGCGTGATTTTGTTGCATGTATTAGATTTGGTGTCAGTGAGCAATTCATCGGTCTCAAATGAAATCAAACGGACTATAGTCACAGTTTAACATAAAGTCTGAACTTGGAACACAGCTAAAGGATGAAAGCCGTAACTAAACATTACCTTTACTTTCATAAATATGAGAAATGAACCTCCTGTAACAATGGTTTATTCAAAGAAAACTGTACCAGTGTTCATTCCAGGGGCCAGCATTGCCACATGTTTTCAGTAATGTTATAAGCTATAATTATCACCAGCGTGTCAACTGGACACATGGTTTCAAATACAGAACTTCTCACACAATGACCTGTGTGATCTATTGTTATTTCAATAAATATATTTATGAAACTGCTTCACTTCAGTGTTTCCTTAAGGAGCATTTCCCTCATGATATGTGTGTGCTCACGTGCACGCACGCATGCACGCACACGCACGCACACACACACACACACACACACACACACACACACACACTTCTACAAAATCCTGGATCCGCCCCTCCACTTCCTCATGTTACAGAGGAATAGAGAAGTGAGCTCCTTTAGTGTGTGTCTCCCACATTACACTCATTTTTCAGATATGGTAGCACTAGTGGTGGTCCGATTAATTGAAATAATCGAAGATTGGTAGCAGTGACTAAACCACCAAGCAGTCGATCATGTTTTCTCATAATCGAACACAAACAATTCTGAAACACTTTTTGCATTAAGAATATTTTTCACAAGGCTGGTTTTGTCTGTTACGTTTCACGAAAACAAGCTCGTTCCAATTCATGATTGAATTTATCTTCAAGACCCCAAGAAATTTGTGTTACTAACATACAAGTCACCCTTTAAAGATGTGAAATTTGCACACAAAAATAAAACCAAAGAACTACATGTTTTTTCTTTATGTTTTTGTGCAAACAAAAATAACCAGGACAATTTCATAAATGAAACTAACCAGTTATTTTCGATGATTGATCGGTTGTATAGAACCAATCATCAATTATGAGATTTTAACCAATTCCCAACACTAGGAGCACTGGGAATGTAAAGTTCCCCTTTTAAAAACTAAAACACCCTTGTGATCCCCTGATCACTTGGCCTTACCAAGGGTTCCAACTGGAATGTACACTGCACGAGAGAAGGGGATACCTACCTTTGAAGATATCACCTCCGCACAGTCATATGGGTGGTTAGATCTGGAACAACAACCACGATTCTCGGTCTCACGATCAACACAATAACACGGCCTGCATTCTGTTTCAGCTCATGTCCACAAAGCATGGTGAACTTATCAAGCTTGGCCAAGGTGAAGAAGGGGATATAAAGTGACTGATGGTACGGTCTATTCAGTCAGGAAACACAATGTGACTCTTCAGCCCCACAGGGATAATGTTAGTGATACAAGGTATCTGGAACCTTGGTGGAGACACCAGCAGAAGGTACTAGGAACCAAGTGAGTGAGTTTAGTTTTATGCCGCACTCAGCAATATTCCAGCTGTATGGCGGCGGTCTGTAAATAATCGAGTCTGGACCAGATAATCCCATGATCAACAGCATGAGCATTGATCTGTGCAATTGGGAACCGATGACATGTGTCAACCAAGTCAGTGAGCCTGACCACCCGATCCTGTTAGTCGCCTCTTACGACAAGCATCAATATCAATACTGAAGATCAATATTCTAACCCGGACCTTCACGGGTCTGCTGGGAACCAGCTCTGTCTTGGAAACAGCAATGGGAGACCAACAGAATGTACTGATCCACCAACACAAAATAAAAAGTGTGGAACTATATTTCATCTTTGGGGAAGTATTTCTGGCCTGGTCTGTTAATCATTCAATAACCAAATGAAAACATTCATTTTGTTGAATATTGATAGTGCACCTGGCTTAAAAGTTGATTTACCAGTAACTGTCAATCATTGTAACTGATGAGTTGTTGAACCTTGTTGGTCAAGGGGACATCACTACACCGGCCACATGACAACCCACTGACGGTGGATGTAATAATTAATAATTTATCAATTTCTATAACGTATCATTCACAGTCCTATGCTTGTTGGAGTTGGGGTTTTTTGTGCCTATTTCCATGAACTCTGTCTTGTCCTGATTGAGCTATAGTAGATGACACAACATCCATTGCTTGATGTCAATGCAACATTGTTCTACCTTGAAAAAAAATGTTGTTGTTCCGATTACCCAACCGACCCTCGAATTCTGGTGCCGACCCTATCTTTTTTAAGCGGTATTAATAAAATAAGCTTTCAGATACCACTGTTTTTTCCCCTTCACCGACGGACATCTGTCACTGTGATAGAGAAAGTCGACATGATGGCTGCAAGCTTGATTGAATAAACAATTACACATTGATATATGTTATTAGTTTGTACTTTACTTCTAAAAAATTGTAAAACAATCCTTCCTACCTACCTACCCTATATTTCAAAGAGGTGTAATCGGAACCACTACATTTTTCTTATTTGGCCTGATCACACTTGTATCTGCATTCCCACTCTGAATCTTATGTGTATCTGACTATCATCAGCATGCTGATGTTGATTTAGACCATGCTGAGCGATTGAGTATACAGTGTTAACAAGATAGGGCCTAATATTCAGAGCTACAGATAACTTCTTGTGTGATTGAGTTATGTTCTCGTTTGTGTTCATCTCAATTGGGTATCCTAATTTTCCTTTGAGTAACCAAATAAATTGTACCCACCTCACTCAAATCCAATTTGGTATTTTGCCATTTTCCATTAATTGTAAAAATATATTAAAGTTTAAATGTTGGTTTACGTGTTTGTTATTCATATTTGATCTGTTATATGGGAAACGATAAGAAAGACTGCAAGTTGCCAGTTCAGGTGCTGAAATAGAACCTCTCAATATACCTCAGTTATTTTATCTATTTTTGTGTGTATGCATGCAAGATCAAATTTATTGAGTATTTACAAAAATTTAAGCGTACTTGTATGCAATAGACTTAATAGGAATTGAGTTTTCACATTATTATTTGCGTAATTTACACGGATACGCAGCTTATCTGTACCTTTGAATATTGAACCTTGTGGAACTCCACAGTGGCTTTCTGTAGGGACCTACCTGACATATGCTGACAGTTCATCTACCTTAGATGACTGAGTCTTGATCATCTGAAACAACATACAACATGTCACTATGGCGACTGTGAATAACTCTGAAACATATACTGCAAGTCAGACATTACCAGAATCCTTGCCATGAAAACTGAAAGTACAGTCACCCACAAAACACAGATCTCATAAACCTCTTTTGCCACTTTTGATCAAGAAAGTCAATGTAAATATTACCATTGGACATTCGCTGGTAGGGAGGAGGTAAGAATTTGTTTCAAACAGTATTGGAACTTCCTTTTAATATCTACTGAGGGTATATTCCGTTTTCTCTCCAGAAGAGTAAATAGTTTGTTCTTATAGCAACAATTGATACTGAGGAGGAGGTGGTTGCCATACCAACAGTAGTTCCGGATCTTCTTCCACTTTGTCTTCCCACTCATACCTGTAGCAGAACAGTGTGAGTGAGTGAGTTAAGTTTATGCCCAGTTCTAAGAGTAGTTCAGTCACACATCACAGCACACCTGACTGGTGTCGGCCACCTGATTTCATGCAGATACTAATGGTCAGCTTTGTAAAATACATGTCCTGACCAAATCATACCTTTGAAACCCCTAGTACTCTTCCAATACATTGTTGTCTGATTGTCAGATATATTGGTCTTACACCCCTATACCTATCTCCACTAGTGGTGGTCCGATTAATTGAAATAATCGAAGATTGGTCGTAGTGACTAAACGACCAAGCAATCGATCATAATTTCTCATAATGGAACACAAACAATTCTGGAACACTTGTTTTCATTAACAATATTTTTCACATGGTTGGTTTTGTCTGTTATATTTTTAAAGCACTACAAGCTCGTTTCAAGTCATGATTGAATTTATCTTAAAGATTCCAAAAAATTTATGTTTCTAACATACTAGTCATCCTTTAAAGATATGAAAATTGCCAAAAACCCAAAAGAACTACATGGTTTTTTTCCTTATATTTATGTGCATTAACAAATTTCATAAATGACGCTAACCAATTATTTTCGATGATTGATCGGTAGTAATGAACCAATCATCAATTATGAGATTTTAACCAATTCCCAACACTAATCTCCACCCAGTCCCTATCTAATCCAATGTTTGACCCACCCCACAACCCCTGGCTGAAGGTGTACGGAAGAGTGCGACATGCGACACTTACACGGAGGTGATGCCAGGGAGGATGTTCACACATGCAGCCAGCCTCTGCTTCACGATGCCACTGAAACATGGAGTTCAAAGAGACACGATTAGTGAGTGAGTGAGTATGGCTTTACACCGCTTTTAGACATATTCCAGCAATATCTGGCAAGAGGACACCAGAAATGGGCTTCACACACAGTACTGTGGGGAACTGAACACAGGTCTTTGACGTGACGAGTGAACACCTTCACCACTAAGCTACCCCAACGTCTCAATAAGCTTAGTAGACTGCAATATGACACCTATATAATGTGGCACCTTAATTGTTTGATAACAGCAATATAACATGAGTGAGTGAGTATGGTTAAGCCGTTTTTAGCAACATTCCAGCAATATCACGGCGGGGGACACCACAAATGGGCTTCACACATTGTGCCCAAGTGGGGAATCGAACCCAGGTCTTCGGCGTGACGAGTGAACACTTTAACCACTAGGCTACCCCATTGCCCCAATATAATGACATATAACTATTTGATAACATATATATAACATGGCATATGACCATTTCATAACATAAATATAACATGGCATATGACCATTTGATAACAGCTATATAATGTGGCATTATATCAAGTGCATAATAAAACTATAACTGCTTTATGACATTTATATAATATGACCTTTTGTCCATTTGATAACAGCAATATAAAGTGAAATATATATTCATTAGATAGTAAGCATGTCATGGAAACCAGGCAAACCAATGGTTGAAAGTATGATAGACAATCAGTGCTATCTGAAACACAGACATTGCTGAGTGGCATCAAACAACCAACCAACCAACATGGCAACACTACATACTAGGCCACCACCATTACACATTGCTGAGTGGCATTAAACAACCAACCAACCCACATGGTAACACTACCTACTGGGCCACACTTCACAGACCACCATTACACATTGCTCAGTGGCATCAAACAACCAACCAACCCACATGGTAACACTACCTACTGGGCCACACTTCACAGACCACCACCACACATTGCTCAGTGGCATCAAACAACCAACCCACCCACATGGTAACACTACCTACTGGGCCACACTTCACAGACCACCATTACACATTGCTGAGTGGCATTAAACAACCAACCCACATGGTAACACTACCTACTGGGCCACACTTCACAGACCACCATTACACATTGCTCAGTGGCATCAAACAACCAACCAACCCACATGGTAACACTACCTACTGGGCCACACTTCACAGACCACCACCACACATTGCTCAGTGGCATCAAACAACCAACCCACCCACATGGTAACACTACCTACTGGGCCACACTTCACAGACCACCATCACACATTGCTGAGTGGCATTAAACAACCAACCCACATGGTAACACTACCTACTGGGCCACACTTCACAGACCACCACTACACATTGCTGAGTGGCATTAAACAAACAACATGGTAACACTACCTACTAGGCCACACTTCACAGACCACCACTTCACATTGCTGAGTGGCATCAAACAACCAACCCACATGGTAACACTACCTACTGGCCCACACTTCACAGACCACCATTACACATTGCTGAGTGGCATCAAAGAACCAACCCACATGGTAACACTACCTACTGGCCCACACTTCACAGACCGCCATTACACATTGCTGAGTGGCATCAAACAAACAACCCACATGGTAACACTACCTACTGGGCCACACTTCACAGACCACCATTACACATTGCTGAGTGGCATCAAACAACCAACATGGTAACACTACCTACTGGCCCACACTTCACAGACCGCCATTACACATTGCTGTAGTGGCATCAAACAACCAACCCACATGGTAACACTACCTACTGGGCAACACTTCGCAGACCACCATTACACATTGCTGAGTGGCATCAAACAACCAACCCACATGGTAACACTACCTACTGGGCAACACTTCACAGACCACCATTACACATTGCTGAGTGGCATCAAACAACCAACCCACATGGTAACACTACCTACTGGCCCACACTTCACAGACCACCATTACACATTGCTGAGTGGCATCAAACAACCAACCCACCAACATGGTAACACTACCTACTGGCCCACACTTCACAGACCACCATTACACATTGCTGAGTGGCATCAAACAACCAACCCACATGGTAACACTACCTACTGGCCCACACTTCACAGACCACCATTACACATTGCTGAGTGGCATCAAACAACCAACCAACCAACATGGTAACACTACCTACTGGGCCACACTTCACAGACCACCATTACACATTGCTGAGTGGCATCAAACAACCAACCCACATGGTAACACTACCTACTGGCCCACACTTCACAGACCACCATTACACATTGCTGAGTGGCATCAAACAACCAACCAACCAACATGGTAACACTACCTACTGGGCCACACTTCACATACCACCATTACACATTGCTGAGTGGCATCAAACAACCAACCCACATGGTAACACTACCTACTGGCCCACACTTCACAGGCCACCATTACACATTGCTGAGTGGCATCAAACAACCAACCCACATGGTAACACTACCTACTGGCCCACACTTCACAGACCACCATTACACACTGCTGAGTGGCATCAAACAAACAACCAACATGGTAACACTACCTACTGGGCCACACTTCACAGACCACCATTACACATTGCTGAGTGGCATCAACCAACCAACCAACCAACATGGTAACACTACCTACTGGCCCACACTTCACAGACCACCATTACACATTGCTGAGTGGCATCAAACAACCAACCCACATGGTGAAACTACCTACTGGGCAAGCTTCTTGGCGACATCCATATTGGGTACAGTCACAAACGCCATGGAGGCGGATCCAGCGAGATAGGACTCGGCCATGGTGCTGACAGCGCGACAGACAACACCCACAAGTCCAGGCATACAGTACACACCGACGCCAACCTGGAACAGAACACCAGTTATATACTGCTGCAAACAAACAACAAAATACATGCAAGTACAAACAACAATATATGTATAGAACGTCATACTAGTGCATTTGGAAATTTTGTATTGAACTCGAAGATGTCATGGGAGCAGAGAAACAACTCATTTCTCTGCTCCCATGACATCTTCGAGTTCAATACAAAACATCCAAATGCAACAGTTATATACTTATCTGGCATGAATCTGTTACTTAATAAAATAAGAAAGCAGAACCGGCAGGGGTTCAATACAGAATCTGGGGTGCAATACGGAATTTAACCACGTCATCCGTATTGCACCCCTGTATTACGACCCTAAGTTTACATGGGTATATAATAAATTCTTATCCGTCTTTGTAAAGCACTGGGGGTGAAAATCTGGGAATAAATATATGAACATATGTGGTTTCACTTGTTCTCATACGTTTCCATGAGAGTATATGTTACACACTAAGATGATCGTAGCTCCCATACTATAACACAGACTTCGATAGTCGTAGTGCTCTGACTGCTTTGTGTAATGGGTCCCAGGGACCCAACTCCACAGAAAATATCAGCAAAATCCTCAAATGGAAAACATATTTGCACAATTAATTCAACATACAAGATGACTTCCAAGAGGAGGCTTGTACAAAACTGCTAAAAGCACCCATAAAGAAGGGAAGAGGTTTAGTTTTACCTTATTGCATTGCGCTCAGTGTCAAAATATCTTTGTGTTTGAGATAATAAAGGTTTTCAAATTTCAAATTTTGAAAAGAGCATCAAGAACCCCTGAAAGTGTCTTTCGATTGAAATAAATAAACATAAGTAATTGAAAGTAATGCTCTTGAGCACATTGAGATGTTACTGTTGGAGGAACCAACATGAAGTTTCAGCTTCATTAGTCCAGACATAGAGTCCTTGATTTTCAGCCAGGTCAGCAAAATATCTGTAGTATATTTCTCAGCACTGGTTTGTTTTAACATTGTATATATTAAGTCTCCATGATTTCAATCTTGTTCACACTCTAGGGCATTGATTGTTACTTCAGTGTCAAAATAAGTGGCAGATGTCAGAGATGTATCTAAGATTCTTAACTGAGTGCCCTTTGCAAACAGAGAAAAGAATCGCTATTTTGTTCAAAATTTGTAAGTTCACACTTTCTGGATCCAAATGTATCTTTACACATTTTGGAAGCTGTATTTAATGTAATATTGAAAACAATCCATAAAACCATTTCCTTTTTATTGGTCTTGTCAATGAAGCAAAGATTACTTCGATTAAATAATAAAATTATCTATTTGTCATTTGTCACAATGAAGATCTACGTGAGAATTAATTGGTTCTTAGGACAAGATGCCTATTGTCATAGGAGGGGTTATCTCCCATTTGACAGACACCCATTTGACAGACACCCAATTGACAGACACTGAACTAGAAGGTGAATTAGGGTAACACCTACGGGTATAATAGAACAGTCCACTGGCTTGTGAGTAGAGCAGGATGAGCCTGAAACAGGTTCGTTACTGAGAAGTTTGATTGTGGGTAAATAGAACTTTGTTGTGATTAAATGATAAATTATTTCTCTTCTCAAAATTGATTTTACTATCAATTACTATCGAATATAAAAACAGGTTTGTCACTGAGAGCTTTGATTGTGTTTATTGATAGAAAAGCCCCCTCCCAATAATAGCATATGTACAACAGAAGTTAACTGAGAAAACATTTTGTTGGAGAGATAAAAAAATATGTGCATATTTGAAAACATTCTGATTTGCATTCTGACCTGCATTGCCATGTAAGATACGATTAATACTTTCTAAAGATTGTAACAGTTTATGTCTTTGAGTAGTATACAATGGACATTCAAGGAAGTAATGAAAAACATTCTCACATCCATGGCCACATTGACATGATGTGTCACATTTTAAATATTTATTCTTAATAAATCGTAATTAAGTGCACTCATCATATCTTAATATTGTGCGCAAAACATAATAAAAATTCAAAATTCTTTTCGTCCATTTTTCAAAATAAATAATATAGCTTCAGTTTGTTCCTGTGTTTTTATTTGGACTATTCCATTATAAGGTGTAGGTAACAGGTAGTAGATAATCTGTTCACTGAACCGTAAATGTTGTTGTTTTAAGGTGTCTGCGAACTGGCTGTCTGCGTAATGGGAGGACACCGTAGGAGGGAACTATCAGGGTTGGGTGGTCAGAACTGCTGACTCGGTCAATGCATGTCTTTGTCTCCTTGTAGTGGAGACGGATGCTCATGGCGTCAATCACTGGATTGTTTGGACCTTGACTATTTCCAGACAGCCCTCATGCAGCTGAAATATTGCTGAGTGTGGCATCAAACAACAAAGAAAAACAAATTTGTTACATACATGACTTGGGAATTTAACTCCAGTTTGAAAATCTAACATGTCAAAATATCATTTGTCTTATGGATTTGAACATGTACCAGTGATGCACATATTCCTTGTAAACTTGCCCTGCGAAATTGTGTACCTTTGTTCTGACTATCATTACAAAGTAATAATCTGTGTATTAAAGTTAAACTTTCTTGAAATGCCACCAGGTATTTTCATTACTCAATATGCCTGATATTAGTGATAAAACACTATTAACCGCTTGTCAGCCGAACGGTTAAATCCTATGAGACACGTGGGCTAACAGATCATATGATCGATATCACCGACATTCCATGGAGTAATGTGAACGTCGCGTCATTTACCACAATCAGACTAAGAAATCCAATTATTCTGGATGAGAATATCCCTGTTGTTTTGGCACCTGCCACTTTGTTAACAACATCCACTTCTCCACTGAAGTTGAGATGAGCTTTCAGAGGACCGAGTAAATACAACAAACACTTTGATTGGTTGAACTACAATAAGCGACCAATCAGATTCACTGTAAGAATATGTGTCGATAAGGTGGTTATCGTATATCTCGCGACGCAAGCGGAAATTTAACAAGAGTGTGGATGTACTTCCGTAATAGCATGATTGAGAGTTAGGTGCGACTTAGAGGGTTACAGCTTATCTGTTGCCAACGCAGTCTGTGTTGTTTCAAATTATGTAGCTTATAACTTTAAATATAAACCGACATCATCACCAGAGCGTCGGTGGTGTAAAGGTTAGCATGGTTGCCTTCCAAGCAGTCGATCCGGGTTCGATTCCCGGCCGACGCATGTTTTTTTTTTTTTTTTTTTTGTCACTGATTTGTTGTTTCTGATTTTGTTTATGCTCTGAATGAGAATTTTTAACAGAGGTTTTCTGAAAAAGCGATCTAGCCCTGTTACGTGATTTGGTTACGTAGCAATGCATTGGTTCTCCTGATCTGTTTTGTGAACGGTGGTTTTCATGAGACGCTGGGTATTAAACTGAATTTGAACATGGTGACTGTGACCAGATCAAAGGGCCCGACAGTATGACCTGAGTACGGATGAACTTCTTTATTACACGTAGGAGAGGCGGTTCCACGTTAGTTCTAACCTCGTAACTTACCTTCATTACTGGGTTTGTACTACTGGATTCCCCTGTAAGGCCTTGACAGTCACTGAGTACTTGACATGTTTCTCCGCTGCATTGTACACATACCCCAGTCAACAGTATGTAGAAACACGTCCTCATACATACGCCTCGTATAACGACTGACGCTTAGTCTCTGAATATATATAATTTTGATAAGCAACAAACAATTCCTTTTAAATTGAAAAAAGCCCCAGTGAGATGGGAAATTGGGAACCTGAGAAAATCTAGACTTGCTTCATGTTGGGCTTTAGCATTGCAGGGAGGGATGAGCGGACCGGGAAACAAAGCGGTTCAGGGACTGTGAAACAGACCAACCTGTTTTTTTTATAGTGTTGGGAATTGGTTGAAATCTCACAATCGATGGCTGCTTCATTACCAACGAACAATCATGGGAAAAAATTGGTTTGCGTCATTTTTCAGATTTTCCTATCCAGGTTGTTACTGCAGAAAAGTATAACATGATGCAACTTGTTACTTTAAAGTGATGATTAATATATCATGAACATAAACTTCCTGGAGTCTTAGTGAAATATTCAGTCATGACTTTTCAGTTTACAAGTGAGTTTTCTAAGAAATAAACATGTTTCCAGGCCCTGACAACTTCTAAGATATGTTCCATTGTCAAGTATTTCAAAGACTAAAACAGTAGTTCCAAAATCGTTTATGTTCGATTATGAGAAAATGTGATCGATTGCTTGGTCGTTTGGTCACTGTGACCAATCTTCGATTGTTTCAATTAATCGGAACACCACTACTGTATACAGACCAACCTGTATACAGTTAGTGTGAGACAGACCAGCATGTATACAGTTAGTGTGAGACAGACCAACCTGTATACAGTTAGTGTGAGACAGACCAACCTGTATACAGTTAGTGTGAGACAGACCGACCTGTATACAGTTAGTGTGAGACAGACCAACCTGTATACAGTTAGTGTGAGACAGACCAACCTGTATACAGTTAGTGTGAGACAGACCAGCATCTATACAGTTAGTGTGAGACAGACCAGCATCTATACAGTTAGTGTGAGACAGACCGACCTGTATACAGTTAGTGTGAGACAGACCAACCTGTATACAGTTACTGTGAGACAGACCAACCTGTATACAGTTAGTGTGAGACAGACCGACCTGTATACAGTTAGTGTGAGACAGACCAGCATGTATACAGTTAGTGTGAGACAGACCAACCTGTATACAGTTAGTGTGAGACAGACCAACCTGTATACAGTTAGTGTGAGACAGACCAACCTGTATACAGTTAGTGTGAGACAGACCAACCTGTATACAGTTAGTGTGAGACAGACCAACCTGTATACAGTTAGTGTGAGACAGACCAACCTGTATACAGTTAGTGTGAGACAGACCAACCTGTATACAGTTAGTACTCCAACCTCTAATTCCATATCAAAGAAGAATATGACGTGAGTGAGAGTTGTTTACGCCGCTTTAAACACCATGCTTGCTATATTAGCTTATATAAATTCAGAATAAAGTAGACGAAAGACATAATAGTATGTTTTTGCCCGGGACGTTCATAGTCAACTACGAACCGAAACAACGTGGAAAATTGGGCAACATTACATTTTTAACGTATTCTGAATTTCTTGCTTGATAATGGTGTTAGAATCTACACCGAAACGTCGCTCTCACTGTAATAAAGAAGCTACTCAGCCATATGTTGTTATCTTTCCGAAATCCTACTGTTCCGCATAATCTCAAATTCATCAGATGTTCCTGGTCATGTCTAGACCACGTAGACGTCATGTAGACGATTTGCACACTAGACTTAGCTGGAATGTTGTTATTTAACGTGCGCTTTACCTTCCAATAGTTCCAAGTCTTCGGCGGTCTGTTTCCACATATAATAGATACTTTGGCGAATCAACTCTCGTGTCCATTCTTAGAAGATAAAGCTACTCTGTTTTCAATTTTGCTGTCCTTTATCGTTGATTGTAAACCAAAAGTCACTGTGTTCTTTCATCTGATTGGTTGAAAAACGTGATCAAATGGTATTTGATTCCCGGAAATTCTCTGCGTATTAATACATACAAACATCGCTCACACCATTGTATTGTTACGTCGTCAGCTGTGATGACGTCATTAAAATCATATTGTGACGTAAAGCCCGAATGACGTCACAAATGAGCAGTTCCAGATATTACCATGGGAGACAGTCGAAACGGCCGGCTGATGACATTTCCGTACTCGATGTCAATGAGAGCAGACACAAAAAACGTGTGTGGACCTTTCGGTTTACTTTTGTGTTTACAATGTCGATAAACATCATGATGTTTATCTCCTAATTTAAGACCGATAAATGTAATTTAAAAACCGAACGCGTTGAGGTTTTAAATTAAACATTTAGCGGTCTTAAATCAACGATAAAGGACCGCAAAATTGAAAACAGAGAAGCTTTATCTTCATTCTAGCACGTACTGTTTGGCGCGCAAGAACACAAGGCGCGAAGGGGCCTTTTTCCTGGAAATCGCTTGGAATCGTCCCGTTGAGGGACAGGTTATGTAATTAGGAGATAAACATCATGTGTTGGCCAATTTCCGGGTGTTATTGAGTATTTGAAGCACGGGAATTCATTTGGAACCGACGGCGTCAAAACCAAAAGGACCACACACGCTTTTGTGTCTGTACTCATTGACATCGAGTACGGGTACAGCAGTGAAATGTCATCAGCCGGCCGTTTCGGCTGTCTCCCATGGTAGCATCGGGAACTGCTCATTTGTGACGTCATTCGGACTTTACGTCACAATATGATTTAATGACGTCATCACAGCTGATGACGTAACAGAACAATGGTGTGAGCAGAGACCATATATATCTATTATATGGTCTCTGGTGTGAGCGATGTTTGTATGTATTAATACGCAGAGAATTTCCGGGAATCGAATACCATTTGATCACGTTTTTCAACCAATCAGATTAAAGAACACAGTGACTTTTGGTTTACAATGAACAATATAACACATTTTCAGCACCATAAATACTTATTTCAGGAACCAGTATGCTTGTATTTGTAACAAGTAGCATACATAAATTAAGAAAATACAGTTAAACTGTGTGCAAGTACAATTATTTGATTTTTCTCAAGCGAATTATTGATCTCCCCTACTGTATGACAATCGACTCGCCCAAATTCAAGACGTGAACTCGCTAAGTTTAGTCGCCGCTAACTTTATTCACGGAAATAATTGTTGATAGCCACCCAACTATTCCCAATTTGGAAAAGACCTGACATGCCACGTTGTATGTGGGATACATGGACAGTGGAAGTGGAAGGACTGGGCATTACGGCCGGGACGGAAGCGGTCAGGTTAGGACGTGTGGACCGACGTGTGTTGTCGACGTCAACACATGTAGATCTTGACCCGGTTTGAATATACTGCCGCTTTTGCGCTGCTGACGGATTTTCCAGCTTCGTAGTTTCTTAACTGTGATTAGGGTCAAGAAATTCTTCTTCAAACCATTCGCTTTTTACTTTAAAAAACAGCAAAGATGCTGCCGAGATAGAAATTGCCGATGCCCGACATGTTTGTTTACAAACAATAGGGTCAACGAGTTCGTTGTATTCATACGCGGTGAATCGGTCACTTTAATTAGCGGTCTTAAACTGTCATTTAAGTTCGGTTTTGATGAGCTCCCAGCCAATCAGAATCGAGTATCACACAATGTCGTGCTAGAATCCTCGTTATAACGCCATCAGCGTTGTGCATGATAAACTTATTCCCTGAGCCACAGAGTCACCTTGTGGTGCAAGTGAGTAAATTTAGAATGCTCAGTGAGTTAAAGGTGGTTCATCTGTATCAGTGCATGTGTACCTGTGAGAGTAGACTAAGGCTTAGTCTCTGAATATATATAATTTTGATAGTAACAAACAAGCCCATTTATATTGAAAAGGAGCCCTAGGGAGACCAGAGATTCAGAAGCTGAGGAAATCTAGACTTGCTTTCTTTAGGGCTTTAGCACTGCAGAGAGGGCTTGGCAGTAGGGAAATTAATGTGGTTCAGGGACTGTGAGACAGACTACTGTGAGAGCAACGCCCATAGTGACGGGGCACAGAAATCTAAATATATAATCAGCATTAAATGGTTATCTCAAAATAAGGGGATGTGCTATATAGTGGATATCTCACAATGGTGTGATGTGGTATAAGGTGGATATCTCACATGGTGTGATTTGGTATATGGTGGATATCTCACATGGTGTGATGTGGTATATGATGGATATCTCACATGGTGTGATGTACCAAATGGTTAGTGTCTCACAGTGATGGTATGTGTTATATGGTGGATATCTCACAT